CAAGAATCCCGTGCCAGTCTCTGGAGACCCAAGCGGAGGCCCGATGGGGACGCCGGGGGCTCACGAGGACCTCCATAGCCTCGGGCCGCGACCCTCGATCTTAGCTGCCCTGATAAGCCCGCTTTGCAACGCAGCGCGCGCCGTGTTCACAACGCCCGTGATGACACGCTGCGTGTTGACTCACCGTGTTGGCCCACGCTTCGGCGGGCGAACTTATCGCGCCAGACCTGCGTGCTCAGTCTACGTGTTGAGCTGCGTGCCAACGCGCTACCGGATGCGTGTGGCGTACCGGGGCAGCGAAGCCCTCGATCGATCGATCGATCGGCGGCGGCGACGGCTCGAAGAAGGATCAAAGGCACGAGCACGGCTTTCTGGAGCTCCGCGCAGAGTTCTTGGATCGGCGCCGGGCCCCCCTTGGCCGCGCAGCGCGCGAATAATTTCCGAGAACCTCCGCGGAGAAGACCGCCCAGCCGTCGCTTGCGCCCGCAGAGGGACAGAGTTTGGAGTGCATAAACTTCCGGAGGTCCGCGCGGAGTTCCTGGATCGGCGCTGGTCGCCGTGGTCGCCGTGGCTGTCGTGGTCGCCAGCGCCGCCCGCGCGCGCCAGTCAGCCCTCGAAGAAGAAGCATCGGCGCAAGCCGAACCTCTCTGAGCTCCTCGCGGATCTCGCTCGGATCGGCGCTTGGGCCTCCCTGGCGGCGCCTGGGCGCTGGACCCACCCCTGGCGGCGCCTCCGGGGACGCCCCTGACGCGCTCCGCACGCCACGGAAAGGGAGGAGTCCGGCACCGATCCGAGGAATTCTCGCGGACCTCCGGCAGCTCATCTTCCTGCGGTGGTGTCTTTCGTCTGACTGTGGCGGCGGCCTTGCGGGAGGGTCGGGGCCCTCACCCCCCCTTGCTTGGCTGGTGCGAGGCACCGACGTGGTCTGCTGCGCGATCTTCGTCCCCTTCCTGGGCGCCTTCGCCTACGTGGCCTGGTGGGGCTCACAGAACGGCGACCTGAGGCGAGGGGGGGAGGTCTTGGTCGGGAAGGGCGCTCGAGGGGGAGGGAGAAGGATGATGCGAGCCGTAGGGCGGAGGCGGAGGAGGCGGAAGGGCAGGAGGCAGGAGAAGGAGGGGGACGAAAGGCTGGCGAGAGAGGGAGGGAGGAGCCATCCATGCACGGCACCGCCCTGCAGGGCGGAAGCCACCCCGTGTCGTGTGCAGTCCCGCGCAGGGACTAGATGGAGGATGCAGACGGGAGGCAGGAGGAGCGTAGAAGGAGGAGGAGGAGGAGGAGGAGGAGGAGGAGGAAGGAGAAACGTAGGAAGAGGAAGAGGGGAAGCAAGAGGCAAGAGGGGCAGGAGGCAGGAGGAGGAGGAGGAGGAGGAGGAGGAGGGACGAAAGGAGGAGAGGGAGAAGGGAGGCAGGCAGGATGCAAGGTAATGAACGCGTGAGGAGGAGGAGGAGGAGGAGGAGGAGAAGCAGGAAGAGAAGGAGGAGGAAGAGGAAGGGCAGTGAGGGGGAAGATGAGGAGGAGAAGGAGGAGGAGGCGGAGGAGGAAGAGGAGAAGGAGGATGCGCAGGAAGATTACGGGGCGAGGAGAAAGCGCAGGAGGCAGCGGGAGGAGACGGAGGAGGAGGAGGAGGAGCCAGGATGCCAGATAATGACTGCGGTAGGAGGAGGAGCGATAGAGGAAGGGAGGGCGCTATAATGATCAAGGAGAGTGATGCGCAGGAAAAGAGGTGGAGGAGGAGGAGAAAAACGCGGGAGAAGGATGCAGCCGCGGAGGAGATGAGGAGGATGACCAGGAGGACCAGGAGGACCAGGAGGACCAGGAGGATGAGAGGGAGGATGAAAAGGAAGGAGGAGGAAGAGGAGGAGGAGGAGGAGGAAATTATCCCGGCAAAGCAACCTAACAGCGGTGTGTAGGAGCATATATGGAAGCATTCCCCTTACTATTCAGATGATAATCCAGTTGTAGAATTCTGCTGTTCTCGCAGTCGTAGTCGCATTCGCGATGACAGTCGCAGTGGCAACGGCAGTCGCAGTCACAGCCTCAGCCTCAGCCTGCCTCAGCCTCAGCCTCAGCCTGCCTCAGCCTCAGCCTGCCTCAGCCTCAGCCTCAGCCTGCTTCAGCCTCAACATCAGTCTGCCTTCAGCCTCGGCCTCAGCCTCAGCCTGCCTCAGCCTAACCCTGCATCAGCCTCAGCCTCAGCCTCAGCCTGCCTCAGCATCAGCCTGCCTCAGCCTCAGCCTCAGCCTGCCTCAGCCTCAGACTATGACTCAGCATCTGCCGGCTCAGCCTCAGCCTATGCTGCCTCAGCCTCAGCCTCAGCCTGCTTCAGCCTCAGCCTCTGTCTGCTTCAGAATCGGCCTCAGCCTCAGGATGCACTCTGGCAGCTCTGCATTCAGCATCAGCATCAGCATCACAGCCTCTGCCTCAGCCTCAGCCTGCCTCGGCTTGCCTCGGCCTCAGCCTCAGCCTGCCTCGGCCTCAGCCTCAGCCGCAGCCTGCCTCAGCCTCAGCCTCAGCCTGCCTCAGCCTCAGCCTGCCTCAGCCTCAGCCTCAGCCTCAGCCTCAGCCTCAGTCGCCTTCAGCCTCGGCCTCAGCCTCAGCCTGCCTCAGCCTCTGCCTGCATCAGCCTCAGCCTCAGCCTCAATCAGCCTGCCTCAGTTCTGGGAACTCGAAGAAACGAAGTGGCCTGAGTTGGCTCCGGGCATTCAAAGTGGCCCGGGAATTGAGTTCTGGGAACTCGAAGAGAACGAAGTGGCCTACAGTTGGCTCCGGGCATTCAAAATGTGGCCCGGGAATGGAGTTCTGGGAACTCGAAGAGCACGAAGTGGCCTACAGTTGGCTCCGGGCATTCAGAGTGTGGCCCAGGAATGGAGTTCTGGGAATTCGAAGACCACGAAGTGGCTTACAGTTGGCTCCGGGCATTCAAAATCATGCCCGGGAATGGAGTTCTGGGACCTCGAAGACCACGAAGTGTGTAACTGTTTGCTTAAAACGACTTCCGCGGGTTCTCCCCGGCACCCGCCCAGACCCCCTTGGGGAGTCAAGATGTTCACTTTTAACACTACTAGAAACCTATCAGTCTTCGCTGTCAGGTACAAACGGAGGGAACGGAGGAGGAGGAGGAGGAGGAGGACGACGACGTGGCCGACGACGACGACGACGACGACGACGAAGATGAGGGATTGCAGCAGCCGCAGGGGAAGAAAGACCCCTCCCGCCTCATGCCTTCCTCGCTCTTTGGGCTCTTCTCAATCCGAGTCGGAGAATTGCTACGGGGCTCTCCTGAAGTTTCCGGAGGATCCCCAGGGGCCTCCGCTGAGGCCCAGTCACCGCCAAGAATTCCAGAACATCTCAATCATCCTCCGCCCGCAGCCGAGACATCGGCCCTCTCCTCCTCCACCTGTCACTCCTCACCTCTGGAGAGGAGGGACCAGGAAGGGGAGGAGGAGGGGGAGGACAAGGAGGAGGGGAGGAGTGGGAAGATGTGGAGGACGAGGAGGGAGGGGAGGGCGGAAGAGGTGAGGAGGAGGGAGGAGGAGGGGAAGGAGAAGGATGAGGAGCAGGAGGAGGAGGAGGAGGTGGAGGAGCAGGAGGAGGAGGCCAGAAGCTCGGGCGTCAGGTGGAGGGTTCGAAGGCAGAGGGGGAGGGAGGGAAGGAGGGGAAAGGAGGGAGGGAGGGCTCGAGGATCTGGATGCGCCCTAGCTGCGTTCAAGCTAGGAGGAGGAGGAGGGGAGGAGGAGGAGAAGGAGAGGCGGAGGAGGAGGAGGAGGAGGAGGTGGGCCAGGGTCCCGTTTCTCGGAGACGAAAGCAACAAGATAAACATGAGATTCCAGGGGTCCCCGCGGATTTCTTGGGTCAGCGTTGGGCCCCCCCTGGCGGCGCCCCCAGCGACGCCCCTGGCGAGCTCCGCGCGCCAGGGAGGGGGGTCCGAGAGCCATTAACCCTCCGCGTCGTAAAACATCAGGATGGAAGTTTTTCGCCGTTCTCAGCCTCTGGAAGCCCTCGCCGGGCCCTGGGACCGCCCAAAAGCGGCTCAGGATGAAACGCTGGTCCCGGAGAAAGGTTCGGGACTTCTGGGGACCGCGTGTTGGAAAAATCGGGGCTTCGCATGTCTGGGGAGAGATCCGCGCGGACCTCCGAGATCAGATGGTTGTGTGTTTCTAGTTCGTTTGTTTCAGCGCCACCAGTCTGCTCCCTCGAGGTGGGGCTGGATGCCGCGAAGCCTAGAGGATCAACAGCGGGGACCCGTGCCAAGAAACACCCTCCTTGCCTCCAGGGTGCCCTGGCTTTCTTGGGTTTCGATAGTGTTCCTGTGGAAAGGGTGACTTCCCCACGCCCAAAAACAAGGGACGTCCTGGTTTCTCGTGGAAGGTTTATTGTGGTCGGGCCTCCACTGTACCACCTTTAGGGGTTAGGTCAGACAGCGGGTCCAAGGGTGTCCCTGTGGGGACGGGGTTTGGTCTTCGGTCGGAGCGAGGCGTAAGAACATGCTCGGCCGGGGGAGGGTGCCTGCTGCTCCCTGTGCGTTCGCATGTTCTCGTTCGACCTGGGAACGGGGCCCCTCGAATGTTTTTGCGTTTGACAGCTGAGCTCGTTCATTCCCGCAAGGCTGGGGTTCCCTGCCGTGCCTTTCTGTGCGCACCACGGCTTCCACTATAGGCCAGGCAGGTGAGGTCGGGTAACTCCTCGGGAGGGACCCTCCGTGACCTTACGTTTTGGGGTGTTTTGGCCGGCGGAAGGGCTCGTGCTGTTGCATTACGGTCGGGAACTTTTCGATAGCGTGTCGCTCCGTCGGTTCTGGCCCAGCATGTGTCGATGCGACACGCTATCCACTTCGAAGTCTCCAGGCGTCCACTTGCCGAGCCTTTCCCAGCTTCCCGCCCCGCGGAGCGGAGCGAAACGCTGTCCGCGTGCAAGGCATATCGTGTCGCCGGGGCCGCCCCCGCGACACGCTAAGCAAAAGTTCCCGGCCGACTGTTCGTCTGTCCTTGTTCCGACCGTACGATGGTGAGGACAGTGAGTGAGGGGGAGTTGCCAGGCGGCTGCACGGATTCCCGAACAGCGATGGCCACCTCTGCGGCGTCAGCCACGACGTTAGCGACACGTCGCTGCTCTACTTCTGCCAGGCCGCCGCGCAGTGCGGGAAGCTACCCTCGCCGTCGCTGCCGCCGCCATGGTCGTCGTGGTCGCCAGCGCCGTCCGCGCGCGCCAGTCAGCCCTCGAAGCATCAACATCGGCGCAAGCAGAACCTCCCGGAGCTCCTCGCGGAGTTCGCTCGGATCGGCGCTTGGGCCCCCCTGGCGGCGCCTGGGCGCTGGACCCACCCCTGGCGGCGCCTCCGGGGACGCCACTGACGCGCTCCGATCGCCAGAGCTGGGGGGGCCCAGCGCCGATCCGAGGCCTCCGCGCGGACCTCCGAAGTCTGTGCTTATGCCGTGGACTCGCTCCTCGGAGTCGGTGCGCCGCCCGCCCGGGCCGCCTCGCGCCGTGAGGACGAACCAAAACGGCGAGAAGGGGGGCTTTCCGGGCAGTGTCGGGCGTCTGCCGGTCCCGGCTCGGGGCCGTGGTCCGTCAAAAGCTTGTTCGGGGACTCTGGACGCCCGAAATGGGTACTGAAAGAATGGGTACAATGCCCAACAACAATTCCTGTTCAATTTGGACAGGATTCGCTGTCCACGCCGCCGCGGCCTGTGTCCATTTGAGACAGAGGGCCACCTGCCCAACAGCGACCGCTGTTGGTTTGGGGCAACATTTGCTGTTGGGCATTGTGCCCATTTTTTCGGTACCCATTTCGGGCGTCCAAAGGGACCGAGCGAGAGCCTGGGGGAGGGGGTCGAGACCTCCGGGGTGGCCACGTTGTTGGGGGGGCGAGAAGACAACCACCAACAAACACAAACACTCGACGCAGTGATCCCCCAATCTGTGTTTCTGACCCCTTCCTGAACGAGTGTCCGGGCATGAGCGAGGTATGAGTAGGAGTGAGCTTGGGCACGAATGGCGGAGCAAGAGTGAGTCTGACTGAGAATGAGTCTGTGCACGAGCGACCAAGTATTAGCGGGTCTGAGCTTGAATCGGCTCGAACAGAGTAGGTCTCATTACATATGAATCTGGGCATGGGGTCTGAGTGGGCCTGAGGACCACTGGGTCTGAGTGGGAGTGGCTCAGCATGAGTGGCTGAGTACGAAAGAGTATCCTTCGGCCTCCTGGGGTCCCTGGGCTCTCCTGGGGTCTCCTGCAGCCCCCCCGGGCTTCCTTGGATGGAGCCTCTTGAAACATTTGGAAAGGCGACAACAGAAGCATCGGCGAAGCCAAAACCATCGTTTCGCTTGAGACGTCCCCCGAATCTGGGCGCGAGCGGGCAAGCGCAAACTCCATGGGCGGCCCCCCCTCGGGGAGCCCAAGTGTCATGCCTGCTGCATCACGGTGATCACGGGGCGTTGCTGGGAGGCGTCGGGGGGGGGGAAGGGGGGTGGGCAAACGAACGCCGCGCTCGCGACATTCCAAAAATCTGGGTGCGAACAGGCAAGCGTGATACCCCGCCCAGGCAAGTGTAGTACCCCGTCGGGGTGCCCAAGTGCCATGCTTGCTACGTCCCAGTGGTCATGGGCTTTCGGGGGGGAAAAAAAGCCCTGGGGAGCCAGACGCGCGCCTCGCTTCGGGCATCTCCAACATCTGAGCGCGAACGGGCAAGCATAGTACCCCCTGGCGGCTTTCACTTTTGGTGCCCAAGTGCCACGCCTGCTGCGTCTGACTATGAGCGAGTGAGCTCTGGGTGTGTGGGGTCTGAGTGTGAGGAAGTCTGAGCAGGAGTGAGTCCGTCTGTGAGCGAGAAGGCACACGGCGGGAGTGAGTGGGGGCGAGGCGGATGCGCCCAACTCATGACAAGAACCCCATTCTAAGAACATTGTGCAAACTCAACGTCGAGGGTCTGGGTCGCGCCTGCCTGCTGATCGCATGCGCGTCGTCGTCGTCGTTCTCGTCATCTTCGATCGCAGGCGAGGTCTCGCCCCACATCCCCGACCCCTCCCCCCAAAAGTCAGGCCGCTCAGAAACGAAGGGGAACTCAGGGATACACCCCCAGGGTGCTGTCCGCACGTGCCGCTATCGAGGATGGACCTCCCCCCCCCGATCGAACACAGCAGGCACATCACATAAAAGAACGGCCTGCCAGCAGATGCCCCATTGAAATGTATGATCCCCCCTTGCCCAGAAGCTCTGAGCTACCTCAGGGCCCTCACAGATCGACGAAGAATGTGCCCCAAGCCTTCTTGCGGTAATCTTTCTTCTCGTATGTGTGTGTGTGTGTGTGTGTGTCTCTTGTATCCCCAAGCTGGGCCCCTAAACAACGTGCCTCGGAGATGGGGGTCGCCACGCCCCCCCCCCGCCCTGGCTCAGACACTCTGACACGCCCGCGCTGAAGCGCAGCACGCAGCGTGCTCAAAAACGTCCGTGCGAACGCGCTGCGCGTCGGCTCGGCATGCGTTGGCCCACCCCTCGGCGAACGCATCGCGCCAGACCTATAGGTGCCCAGTCTGCGGGCGGAGCTCCGTGTCCGCACGCCACGTGCTGCGTGTGGCGTAACCAGGGCAGCTGAGACCGTCGGGTTCTCGGGCGGGTGGTCATGGGGGGGGTGACCGAAACAGGGGGTGAAGACAAGGGCCCCACAGGGGCCCTTTAGGGCCCCTTTGGAGCCCAAAAAGGGCCCTAAAGGGCCAGCATTATTATCGTTCGTATGTTTGTTCTTCTTGTTCTTCTTATTATTCGTATTATTATCATTCGTATGTTTATGCTACTTATTATTGCTATTCATATCAGTATTAGCATTCGTATTCTTACTAATTCCCTATTCGTATGTTTGTTATTATTATCACCAGTATTGTCATTATCATCATTATTATCATTAACAGTATCATTATTATATATTACTATTATTAGTATTAGTAGTCTTATTGTTATTCTTTATTATTATTAATATTACATTATTTTTGTTATTATTATTATTATTAGTAGTAGTAGTAGTAGTCTCATTATTATGTCACTGCCTTCCCTGCCCCCCCCCCTCGTCCGCGCACGTGCCTCCGGTAATGACTCCCGACCCCCCCTCTGGGACGCCCCCGGTGCAGCCGAGGGGCCGCCCCCGGAGGCTCCGGAGTGCGCCTCTGCCTCGGGGGCAGCACGGGCGGGCGCCTCCTGCTCCGGCCGAGCCGAGAGACGCACCTCCCGCGCCTGCCCAAGCTCTGGATCGGGCCTCTTCCTCCTCCTCCTCCTCCTCCTCCTCCTCCTCCTCCTCCTCCTCCTCCTCACTCATCCTCCTCCTCCTCCTCCTCCTCTCTCCTCCTCCTCCTCCCCCTCCTTCCTCCAGGTCCGCGCGGATTTCTTGAATCGGCGCTGGGGCCCCCGCGCCGCCCCTGGCGCGCTCCGCGCGCCAGGGAGGGGGGGGGGCCCAGCGCCGATGCGAGGAGTCCGCGCGGGCCTCCGAGTTTTCATGCTTGCGGGTCGCTGTGTTTGTTCCCCTGGCTCTGTGGCAGGCCGCCCTGGTCTCTCTTCCCCGAAGTGCTCTGGTGCTGAGGACGGCACAACATACGCTCACTCCGAGTTTTCATGCTTGCGGGTCGTTGTGTTTGTTCCCCCAGCTCTGTGGCAGGCCGCCCTCGTCTCTCTTCCTCGAGGTGCTCTGGTGCTGAGGGCGGCACAGCATACGCTCACCCCGAGCCAGAACAGAGTCGGGCATGTCCCTCTGCAGGAGGAATGCTCAGGAAAAGCTTGAAAATAGTCTGGGGACGGTCTTTCTGTTCTTTTTTCCATTTAGTTCTTGATTATTTGTTGCGTATTTGTAATTGTTCGTCCCAAATCCGCGTGTAGTGTAACACGCCCGACCTAAAGCCAGGACTCCCGCTCCCGTCCTGGCGGCCCTGGATTGGTGCAAGCGCCCTCCTCGCCAGGCGAGGAGGCGAGGGTGTGCACCGCTCCTGGGGCCAGGGCGGGCTTGGCCAGGATGTCTCGAGTTGGGGATCGTCTACAGAGATGGTTTACCGCACAATCTTGATTTGTTCGTCGAATCCATGAGATATTCGTAGAATGTTCGTAGACCTACGATCATTCTACGCATGACTCGACGAGAAAAAAACATTATGGGGTAAATCAGTTATGTGGGCGATCCCCTACTCGACCGGTCGAGCATCTGATGAAGACGCCTCCTCGCGAAAAGCTGGGCCACCCTTCCTTGCCCAACTTGCTGCACAGCTGGCCCAGCCTCTTGACCACCTGCGCCCCTCCAGCATCAACAGTAGAAGCTGCCCCCCAGGGCTGTTTTAGGAAACTTCGGAAAGCTGGCCCAGGTATCTTAGATGATGAATTTCTTGACCGTAATTTCGGCTGCAGACGGCCCCCAGCGGCCCCCAGCGGTCTGGACCCATCCCCCGGGGACCGATTCTTCATCCTGGGTCGTTTTTGACGGTCCCGAGGGCCGGTCAGGTCCCCCAGAGGCCGAATAGGCAGAGAAACCTTCCGTCGTTTTTTATGTCAGGACTCGAGGGGGTCTGGGAATGTTGAAGGTAGAGGTGCGTCGTCGGCGCCCTCCGAGAGTGGCCGGCGGGCGTCGTCCCAGCAGAGGACGTGCACGGCCACATCCGCCACACCACGTGCGGTCTTCGTCGGCGAGAGCGAGGGAGGGGGTACAGAAGGGACTCGACCACACGAAACCCAACCCTGAGACCCCAGGGCGTCGACTGATTTTCGCTGTGGGAACGTCACGCTTTCCGCAGCAAAACCCTCGACACCCCAGAAACCCAGGGCAACCTAGAGGAAATCGGGGTGTTTCTGTTGGCATGGGCCCCCACTGTGTGAACCGATCCTGGGCCCCGGGTGGAATTGGTTGGGATGCCGGAGTGGACCCCAGACCCCCGACGCCATACAGTCGGGGCCCTGAAGAAGGAACCCTTTTCGTTGGGGAGGGGCTCCGCGTTCCTTAAGTGTTTCGCAGCTTGCCTCAGGTTTTCCTTACGTTTTCGATCGGAAATCGAAGGTTAACTTATGAAGAAAAGGGGCCTCGTTCCTTCTTTAGGGTTCCTTAGGTCAACGCCCCCATTGTATGAATTTCTCATGACGTGGACCCCCAGCGGTCTGGACACGGTGGGCTTGGTTTGGGACGTCGGAGCAGACCCCAGACCCTCGACGCCATGCATTGTTCGTGGCGTGGACCCCCAGCGGTCTGGACCCCTTCCCCGGGATCGGTTGCTCGTCCCGAGTCGTTTGTTGACGGCCCCGAGAACTGGCCACCGCCCCCAGAGGCCGAAGGTAGGCGAGAAACTGCCCGCCGTGATTGTTGCATGGCCCGAGGGGGGCTCTGGGGGCGTGCGCGGTCGGCGCCCTCCGAGAGTCGTCGAGCAGTGGCGGTGCGTCCCGGCTTGCCTCTTGGCCCGCCCAAGAATGTTGCAAGAATCTCTTGTGCTTCGCACGAAGTGTTCTAGGAACATTTCTGGCTGAGGCCGTCCTGTTTTAACACATCGGGCCTATGTTCTACGAAGATGGTTTCTGTTCTTCGAATATGCTTGGGTTCTAAGACATGGTCGTGGCAGGCCTGTAGGAATGCCGGGGCGGTCGGTCCCTGCTCGGAGTGGCGGGCGGGCGTCGCCCCGGCAGAGGACGTGCACGGCAACTTCAGCCGCACCATGTCGGTCTGCGTCAGCGGGTGCCCGGTGCAGGAGCGGCGCTTGGAAGGCGCCGGGGGGACACCGCCGCCGCCGCCGCCGCCGCCGCCTCGAGCGTTGCTCGTGGCTCGAGGCTCACTCAGAAATCAATCAACAAAGACAACAACAACAACAACAACAACAACAACAACAACAACAACAACAACAACAGCAACAACAAGATAACCAACAACAACAACAACAACAATAACAACAGCAGCAACAACAACATTTACATCATCAACACCAAACACCACAACGGCAACAACAACAACAACAGCAGCAGCAACAACAACCACACACATGAGCAAACTAACACATGGATATATGATATATCTCTGTTCATCGAAAATCACAAGGTGGCATCTTTCGCTCGCCAGATGCGGTACCCAAATCAGTGATTACCAGGTCCCATTGCAACGAAAGCGCCCATTCGAGTTCCTGGGGAGGCGTCTGTGAGCTTTCGGGGGCGTTCTGGAGCGGCCCCTGCGGCACGGCTGGGTCCACCCTCGCACTTCTGGCCGGAATGCCAGGTCCAACACAGGGCCACCGCCGCGCAGCCGCGGCCTGCGCCGGGCCTCTGGCGGCGCAGAGGGCGCGCCGCCGCGCGGGGGGGCGCACGGCGCGCTCGTGGGCGCGGGCTGCGCACGGGGGCGCGGGCAGCCAGGCGCTTTCGCACGGAGAGCGGCACCTCGCCTTCCTGTCGGCGGGGAAGCGCAAGACTCGGGCGAGCCCGAACTCGGTTTAGCCGACGTTTTTTGACGAGCGCGTCCTGGATTTTGGCAGTCTGGTTTTCGTGGGATGTTTGCAGCGGGGGCGCACGTATTGGATCTCGTCATTTTCATTGATGGCCCCGTGAGGCCAACCCGAGTCCCCCGAGCCCCAGTCTTACGTCTCCCCGACTGTCGGCGGTTCAGAGGTGGGGTCCTGAGGGATGGGGTCCTAAAGGGCGAGGTGCCTCGCACAGTGCAGATCCACCCCTGGACCTCGTCCTTTCCTCGGGACCCCATCCATCAGGACCCCATCTTTGAAGCACCAGCAGGTGGGCGACGCAAGAAAGCGGGGGCGTCTGCGCCGACGTTGGCGCGTACGCGTCCCGCGTAAGACCGCGCGCAAGCGTCCTCGTCGCCAATGCAGCTTGCCGCTCTGGCGGCCCGCGCGAGCCGCCGCGTGAGGTCGCTGTGCCACCTCGCGCAAGACCCGTGCTTGATCGTCGCTCGAGTGGGCGAGGGGGCTCGCTAGCATTAAGTCGGGCCTGTCCCACTACAAGGGGAATATTCAAAAATAGTCGAAAAATAGTCCCGGGATTATTTTTGGAGTACGTTTTGACTAATTTAGAATATTTGTTGATTGTTTTTTATCCTTCGTCCAAAATCCCCCTGTAGGGTAACAGGCCCGACCTAACGCCAGCAGCAGAGCTCGGCCGAGCTCAGGCGCGAGCCAGGTCCCACCGGCCCCTGGCCACGGCCAGGAGCACCAGGGCCTCGGACCGGGACCACAAATTCTTGCGCGCAACGGGCCCGGGGGCAGCCCCCCCAGGGGGACCGCGCGGCGCGCCGCCGAACCGACGCCGGCGCGATCGAGGATCCCAGAGCGGAAAAACTAAAATTGCTTCCCCAAAAGGAAAAAACAACTCAGGAGGGGAAAAAACACACAGACACAAACAAACGCCGATTCCCAGGAAAATATAGGAAGGAAATATGGAAAGTGGGAGCGAAGACGAAAACAAAAAACATGGGAATCCTGGGGTTCGTGTCAAGTCATTTGTGTGTCCCTGGGCCCCTTCAAAAACGTCGATACGAGTGTAAATGTCCCCCCGCGTTTGCAACATCATGCCCCCGCGCACCCTCCGCGGAGCGGCGCCACGCCGTCGCGCGAGCCCGCGCGGCCCGGCTCATCGGATGCCGGTTTCTTTCGGTCGCGATCGGCAGCGACCGATCGGCACTCCAAATCGGTCGCGACCGATCGCACACGACCGATCGACCGCGACCGAGTCTGAAGCACATCGGTCGCGACCGGTACCAGAATTTGATGGCCTTCGTCTTATCCCGAAACCCTGCCTTGGGTCGTGGCCAGAGTTCTCTTGGAGTCTCGTTGAGGCCTCCTAGTGGCCTCTCGGGGGGCCTCTTGGGAGGCTCCTGGGTGCTTTTATTGGGAGCACCTGGGGGTATCTTGGGCGCCTCTGCACCTCGAGAACATATTGTTGGTCACAACGGCGATGGTTAAGTGCGTACTTGCGAAAGGTAAACCTTGTCAGGGCCGCTCTCTTCAACACCTGTCGGGGCGGGTGGTAAAGGAATATGCAGTCAACGTCGGAGTCTGCCCTACCACGCGCCTCTCTTCTGCGCTCGTCTAAGAGGCCCCGTATGGCATCGCCTGGTTTTGAGGCTCCCGCGTTCTCTTCACAACACCCCAAAGTTGCTGCACAGCTAGTGACTGCCACTGCGTAACCTTTTGGCTGAAGCCAGATTGGCCTAAGCCACCTTGGACCGAGGAGCTTGCTGAGGTGCTACGCGTTGCTTCCATGATCTGCGATTTATTTGAGACCAGGGCTGCGCTGTATGTTCCTGCCCTGTGTGAGAGTGCTCCGTGGTTATGGTCTTGCCGGCTCGAGTCCCTGCGTATTTTACCCCCGGCGTTTCTATACGTCCTCGACGGGGGCGGCTGTGGTCAGTTCCCACGGTCGCATTCGAAGCAAGAATGGAATCATCACTTTTGGCTGTTTGAGCGATTCAGGATACTACACTACCGAGGTTGGTGGAAGCAGAAATTATGTGCATCGGTTGGTGGCACATGCTTTCTTGGGGCCACCGCCTTCGACGCAGCATTGCGATGTGAATCACAAGGACCGTGATCGTGGCAACAATCATGTTGAAATTTGGAGTTCGTCACACGTTCCGAGAACATCCTCCATTCATATGCAGCGAACAGTACCCGCAGAGCTTGCGCAAATGCACTCTCCAAACCGGTCCTCAGCAGATGGGCTGGACAATTTGGTCGCTGGACCAATCACTCCTCTGGGCGCCTAGCGTCCCTCGAAACTGGTGTTGACCAGGGTACCATATGTAAGTGTTGCAAGGGTAAGATAATTTCACCAAAAGGGTATGAGTTCAAATATGGAGCACCCATCGTCCCGCCATGTTTGCTAGGCGAGGAGTGGCGTCCTGCCTTACACCCATGCACAGGCACAGAGCTATCGACCTGGGAGGTCAGCTCCCACGGACGAATGAAAACCACTCGCGGGTTAGTCTCGTATGGCTCGCAGACTTTAGCTGGCTATCGCTCTGTACTAATTACCACCGACGGTCGGAAAACAAATCATTTGCTGCATCGACTCGTCGCCCGGGCCTTTTTATGGCAACCATCTGATTCAGAAGATCTAGTGGTCAATCACATCGACGGCAATAGAGGAAATAATTCCAAAAGTAATTTAGAATATGTGACCCGTTCGCAGAACTCGCTCGTTTCAAAGAAATGGTGGCTTGGACGCGCAAGTGCCGGAGTAACAAAGTCGAAACCTGTATGGGGACGGATAGTTGGATCGGAGTCATGGAAGTGGTACGCATCGATGACCGAAGCCGCGCGCCTTTTGGGCTTGGCGGCCGGCAGTATATCGTACTGTTGCAATGGGATCCAGCGACGCGCCGGTAATTACGAGTTCAAGTTTGCAGATTCGACCGTCCCCAGTGTGTTGCCAGGAGAGGTGTGGCGCGAGATCCCGCAGTGCTTGTTAACGAAAAAGCCGCGAGTACCCTTCGCCACTCGCTGCTTCACATACTCAGATAGTGCTACAGTACGCTTCTTCCAGACCTCCTGGGAGCTGCCTCCGGATATTTGTTGCAGCTCTCCTCGCCGCCGCCGCCGTCCCCTCCCCCGCCTGGGCCCATCCGCTCGCCAGCCCTGCGCTTCAGTCCGTCGGCGTGTGCTGCTTCGCGCTCTCCGGTGTGGGCGCCGCCCCAAAGGGGGGCCTCCCAAAGGGGGGGGCGGTCTGCGCAGGGGGGAGCGGTGGCCACAGCGGAGCGATGCCGAAGCTCAGAGCCCCGAGCCATCGGGGCTGGGCCCAGACCCCCGCTTTTCGCTGTTTTCGTCCGCTGGAGGCCCTCACTGGGCCTCGGGGCCGTCAAAAAACGACTCGGGGCGAAAAACCAGTCCAGGGGAAGGGGTCCAGACCTCTGAGGGCTCACGTCTTAAAAAGTTCATGACGTCGGGGGTCTCGGGGGTGAGGGGCAGCTCCTGGTTCGTACCTCGGGGGCCCAAAGCGGAGTTGCCCCAGACCAGAGTGATCCCGGATCACTCGGGCATCTAACTGTTTCCGAAACATGGGGGTTGGGGATGCGGTCAGGGGGTAACTCTTGGTTCGTGCGTCGGGGGCCCGAACCAGAGCTACCCCGGGCCAGAGGTATCCTGGATATCTCGGGCGTCCAAGAATCTCGAAGACAACCAAAATCTTGAGGACAACAAAAGTTGCATACAGGTTATTTGGGCTCCGCGCGGATTTCTTGGATCTCTTAAAGCAGAGCCGTGAAGGGGGAGGGCCACGAAACGAAAGAGCTCTAAAGCTGTGACACCGCGCACGTCTCTCTGCCTGGCCTCCGCCCGCGCCACGAAGACCTGCAGTCGGATCCGAGCCTCGACAACCACGGAAAGGCGCGTGCTTGCACGCGCGCGCAATTGCCTGCGGCACGCCGTTCGGTAACTAATTGCACTGCAGTCCCTCTACAGGAGGAATATTCAAAAATAATCAAAAAAAAAAAAAAAAAAAAAACATGGAGGCGATTTTCTATGTTTTTTGACTATGTTCGAATGCTTGTTTATTATTTTCTTTTTCGTTCAAAATCCGCCTGTAGGAGGACATGCCCCGCCTAAACGTACCCTCCTCCTTCCCCCACACGCATCAGACTTTTTCCTGTGCGCAGCCCCCATGCGGGCAATGTTTCTCGCCCTGGTGGATCCAGCTCCGATGGTCCCAGGGGGAGTGAGGGGGGGAGGGGGGGGGGCGATTCACGAGAGCCCCCGATCGGCGGCGATCCCCGGGGGGGGGGGGGGAAGTGAGAAGGAGCAGGCCTCCTCAGAAGGCTCGGAGGTCCCCTGGCCTCTTGAGAAGTTTCTCCTGAGCCATGGCCCGGAGACGCAGAGAACCTTTTGGAAGGCGCGAGGGCATCCGAGAAGCCCGCCGCCTTCTGAGAAGGCCTTCTCCTTCTCACTTCCCCCCGCCGCCCGCGCCGCCGAATTCGGTTTTGGGGTCACAACTCCAATCTTTCTGGCGGCCGTTCGAGACGATCCGGGCACACCCGGAACGCCCTCGGCGAGGCGCAGCTGCTGAGCTGGCAAGCATCCTGGGGCTGGAAAACCGCCGAGAACTGACGAAAGCGCCCGCAAAACCTCGAACCTCGAACCGCCGACCAGAGGCCGAAACGAAGGAGGACACGCAGGGGTTCAAAGCATCTGCCCCCCCTCCGACGTCGCAGAACTTCACGGGACGGGCCCGGTCACCAGAGGGCACACCGCCGCGCAGCCGTGGCCTGCGTTGGCCTCTGGCGGCAGAGAGGGCGCGCCGCCGCGCGGGGGGCGCACGGCGCGCTCGTGGGCGCGGGCTGCGCACAGCGGCGCGGGCAGCCAGGCGCTTCGCACTGGAAGCGGCACCTCGCCCACTTGTCGGCGGTTCAGAGGTGGGGTCTTGCGGGATGGGGTCTCCTAAAGGACGAGGTGCCTCGCACAGTGCAGATCCACCCCTGGACCTCGGCCTGTCCTTGGGGCCCCATCCCTCAGGCCCCCCTCTTTGGACCACCGGCACAAGTGGGCGACGCAAGAAAGCGGGGGCCGACGTTGGCGCGTAAGTTGCCCGCGGAAGGCCGCGCGCAAGCGCCCTCGTCTCCGCTGTGGCGTGCCGCGCGCGGGCGGCCCGCGTGAGCCGCCGCGTGCGGTCGCTGTACCACCTCGCGCAAGGCCCGTGTCTTGACCGTCGCTCCAGTGGGCGAGGGGACCCGCCGGCGGCAGAGCTCGGCCGAGCTCAGGCGCGAGCCAGGTCCCACCCGGCCCCTGGCCACCGCCAGGAGCACCAGGGCCTCGGACCGGGACCACAAATCTTCTTGCGCGCGGCCGGCCCCGGGGGCAGCCCCCCCATGGGGGACCGCGCGGCGCGCCGCCGAACCGAAGTCGGCGCGATCGAGGATCCCAGAGCGGAAAAACGAAAATTGCCCCCCAAAGCGGACAAACGAAATTCGTGCGGGGAAAAATCACACAGACACAAATAAACGTCGATCCCCGGGAAGATATGGCAAGTGGGAGGGAAGACGAAAATCCATAAAATAGTCAAAAATATGGGGAATCCTGGGATTGGTGTATAGCTATTTGTGTGTCCCTGGGCCCCTTCAAACACGTCGATTTCGAAAACGAATCAAAATGTTCGCCCGCGTTTGCAACATCATGCCCCCGCGCACCCTCCGCGGAGGGGCGCCACGCCGTCGCGCGAGCCCGCGCAGCCCGGCTCATCGGATGCCGGACTCGTTCGGTCGCGATCGGCAACGACCGATCGGCACTCCAAATCGGTCGTCGGGACCGATCGCACACGACCGATCGGCCGCAACCGAGTTTGAAGCACATCGGTCGCGACCGGTACCGGAATCTAGTGGCCTTCGTCCTATCCCGAGACCCTGCCCTGGGTCGTGGCCAGAGGTCTTTTGGAGTCTCGTTGAGGCCTCCTTGTGGCCTCTCGGGGGGCCTGTTCGGAGACTCCTAGGGGCTTATTGGGAGCATATTGGGGTATCTTGGGCGCCTCCTCGTGACTTACACCTCGAAAACATATTGTTGGTCACAACGGCGAGGGTATACCCTGTCAGGCAGCGGCTCTGGGCCGACCAGGCCTTCCCAGGCCACACTCGTCAACACCGGTCGGGGAGGTCGGTAAAGGAATAGGCGGTCACTGCATGCCCTGCCACGCGCCTCTGGTCTGCGCTCGTCTAAACAGGAGGCCCCGTATGGCATCGCCTGGTTTTGAGGCCCCGGATTCTCTTCACAACACCCCAAAGTTGTTGCACATCTAGTGATTGCCACTGCGTAACCTTTTTGGCTCAAGCCAGCTTGGCTTAAGCCACCTTAGGCCGAGGAGCTTGCTGAAGTGCTACGCGTTACTTCAATGATCTCCGATTCATTTGGGGCTGGGGCTGCGCTGTATGCTCCTGCCCTTTGTGAAAGCACGCCTTGGTTATGGTATTGCCTGCACGAGTGCCTGCTCGTTTTACCCCCAGCGTTTCTTTATATCGTCGACGAGGACGGCTGCGGTCAGTTGCCACGGTCGCATTCGAAGCAAGAATGGAATCATCACTTGGGGCTGTTTGAACGATTCAGGATACTACACTACCAAGATCGGTGGGAGCAGTAATTATGTGCATCGACTGGTGGCCCATGCTTTCTTGGG